AACACAACAGTGTGTTCACAGAAAACCCATACACACATCTGGTTTTCGGGTAATCCCACCCTATCTCAATAGAAATAGGATTGGTGTAATGTTTTAATGACAGCAGGGCACGAAAACTCAGTTGTATCAAGAAAAATCTGAGATGGAAATCGAGGCACTTGAGAGAAGCTTTAAAACTTAATAATTACCCTGTAAATCATTCAGAAAGTATGTGGGGAAATGTACAAATAAAATTAGTAACAATAATATAGTAGTGGTGGTAATAATAAGAATATGGATGACAACATGCACGACAAACGTACAGAATGATAAAAACATCAACAATAAGGAATTTAAATGATCATCAGTAGTACCTCCATACAGAGAAGAAACCTTGGAATTTTGCAGAACAGTTCCCCCACTATAACAGTCAGGACATGCAATTACTCACAACCATGTGATGATATAGGATAGGGCAAGATCGCAGTTCTAAAATCTAATATAACAGGATGTAAGGAGAGAGACTGATAACGCAAGCTTTATTTATCGAATCAGCGGAGACAGAATATGTGTGAAAGGAATGACTCAACACCTGTCTACCTGGGTATCTGGAAAATTCTACTACCACTCCTACGACACGAATGGGAGGGTATATAGAGAACTTTTAAATGAAAGTTTCGAAGTTGTGTGGTCATAATTGATGATATAATTTAGAATGATGATATTTGTGTTAAGAATTTCGTCACTCAGTAAATAATACTGTTTCACTGACTGCCTGATATGTTTAGTAAACGAATTATTGTGGAATTACATTTATAATTTCACTTAAAAACATAATCAGGTTTGAATGAACATATATCAAATACTTATTACTTTGCATTCCACGTGCAGCGCGGGGCTTCAGGCTTGAGCTTCGAATCACCAGCAGCAATGACGTTTATTTGTCTCTTTTGATTGGGTGAGGTTGTAAGTTTCACCCGCAACATTCCGTCTTTACCAGGCTATATACGACCAAAGAGTGGGAATCGAAACCTCGAACACATTCACGGTTGGCGAGTATTTCGACATTCAAAAAACACCGATGCATGGGTTTCATTGAAACTTCTTAACTCATACATCATTAAACAAGTAATAAAAGGAGTTAAGAAATCAGGATTTCATAAATTCATCAAATTTCAGCAGAACTCTTCCCTAGCTATATGGATACTCCACATACGGTGATATGAAAGAAAGCTGAAATCCCATATACATTTCAATTACATTACTTAGATAAACAATTAGTTAGTTATCAGTGAGTGAAAGAAGTTGTACATCTATCGCGAATTGAGAACTAAGTAATATTGATAATAATATTATTAGTAATAGCAACAATAGTAATCATAATGTTAGATGGAGTTAAATTTAGTGGTAATGATAAAAGATAGTTTTAAATAAGTCGGATATAGTTATAATAAGACGTCGCATGTAGAATAAAATATTAATAGTAGTAACACTTAAAAAGTAAAACGTTAACATGGTAGATTCACAGTGACCACTATTTCCTTTTGTACATGTAGATCTGGTTTATCAACCATAATTGCACAAGCCTCCCCTTATTTTCGAGCATCTTCCTGTCTGTTTGTTTGCTGACAACAGTGAATGACTTGACAGCGTCAATGTCGTGTTTGTAGTCCACAAGATGCTTTATTATTGAACTTTTAGGCACTTTGACTTCTGCTGTTTCTAGCCGCTTTGGCAAATGCTGCGTCATGTGAGTAGACAATCATCTTTCTATGTCACTACCTAAGTGTTTTATCCCACAAGGACACTCATCGAATTGATATAGGCAGTTACAAGTGTCGGCGATTGGCGAATACTGGTCTTTCGCAGATTCATCAGGCACCCGCTCTGTTGCGGTGTTAAGGAAGGCGAGTTTTGCAACATAATAAGTTCTCACTAATAATTAATTGTTTATTTGAGTAATGTAGCTCAACAGTATAATACATTTTACCTTAATTTTATATCCCTCTATGTCGAGACTTCATCCAGCTGATGGAGATTTCTACCGAAATTTGGTGAATTCATGAAATTCTTCTTCACTAACAGCACCTTTTGTGACTTGTTTTAAATTCATGTCGGGAAATAAATGTTTCTAACTCATCATCATACATCATTTCTAAGACTTGATCCACTCATTATATTAAATCTCATGCCGAATGACTTTTTTAATGACTTTGATTCACTACATGGAAAAACGTGATCCTAGTGATTGCAGCTAATAGGAACTGTCAAACAACCGAATATCATTCACTGATGGAATATTATATGAAGGTTTATCAACATCAGATGATAGCGTATGTATGTGCCCAATGCCATACAACAGACAAATGCCTAAAAGGAGAAAAAAAATGATTTATGCTATAAATAATTCAAGTATGTCAAACGTTAATATCTGGTTGTCAAAATAATAATAAGCTAGCGGAATGCATTGTTACAAAGTAATCGAGCGATAGTGAATATTTATTATTATTTCTTTGTTTGACGAATGAAATGTAGAGCTTCATCAGCACCAAATCTTAACCTTATTCCACTTTCTGATGTCCGATTTAGCTGGCTAGCACGAAGATTCCTCATAGTCTCTCATCTCTCCCTAAAGAAAACGATCTCATCCATGTCAACCTCGCAACAATAAATGCCCGACTTTTCACTTCCCAATCGCGTTCCAATCAAGAGATGAACTGCTCTATGAACGTGCACCCAATCCATCTCCATTTTCCTCAACATATTCGTCGAGCGATAGGTTCTTGCTTCGATCGTTTACTGAGTTTCTTGTTGCTAACTCTTTCTCGCCGGCCGACCATTTCAGCTCCAATATGGAGCCAGCCACCCAGCGAAATGGGCAGCTGTTGATAAAAGTCGACAAATGGCTGTTCAAAATGCTTTTCATGACACGCATTGGCCAAGTTTTTGACCAACTGACTTCACATTTGTTTTGAATAGAATCCGGGTCTTGTTGTTTGTTGTGATGCAGAGTGGAGGAGATTTCCAAACTGATTTGAGATTGATGAGGGTGTGTTGCGTTGCCTTTCCGATCCTGTCTGTCTGTCTGTCTGGCTGGCTTTGACATGTTCATCAGTGTGGCGTGCATGTGTTTGAGACGATGCTGGCCACCTAGATAATTGAAGACAGGAAGTAACCTCTTTTGAAACTCCCCCCGTTGAAGGCGATTGGTGCTGGTTGTTGTTGCTTTTGGATGGTTGGTTGATTGGTTGGTTATCTTCATCACCTACCTTTGTTTCCCATATATTCACTTAGGGTCCTGTCTTCACTGGCTGCTTCTTCAGTCAGTTTGTTTGTTTGCCTACGCCTATAATTCTTCAAGCGTGTGTGTCACTTAACATAAATCATCCGCGAAATCCAGATAAATGGTCAGTGTTCAATGAGCTGACTTGGTTAGCACAAAGAGCTTGCACGTTTGTATACGAAAACGTTTTCCTCTGATTTTTCATCTCATATTTTCTCATCTGTAGAGTGCATCCGTGTAAGTTAAGTTATGGAAAATAGTTTGTCATATGGACTTTGTAATCAGTTTTGTTTGAAAATCTAATGTAAATTTAGCTAAAACCGAAGAATTAAAGAACACTTATTTGTACATCTAGATAATTCAGCTCCTGGGATCCCATCAAACGGCCAATCCATGAATTCCACCCTCCGCCTATTCGCGATTCATATATATATATATAGTGCAGCCACCAGCTAATATCCCAGGCTAACATCAACTTACTTCAGAAATGGATACAGTGGGATAACAAAGCCAAGATCAAGGCAAAACAAAAACGCGTAGAACGAAGAAGGTTGGAACAGCTTTACTAGAAACTATTTGACTAAGGGTGACGGATGTCGCATATGCTACTGACGAGGTTTACGATTAATGTAAAAAAAGACGTTCATTGACACAAAAATGTCACAGAATTGGCAGAGACAGAGATTTGATGTCAAAGAGAGAGGAAACGAACCTACCAGTATTGCGGCAAAACACGGGAAACCCGAAAAGAAGACAAAGAAAGATAATACGTGAAGGGCAGAAATGGAGCACGATACGGAAGATCGCTGCAAATGGCATCTTTCACATAAGGTGAACATAATTTTCCTATATAGAAGAGAGATCGAATTCCAAATAAACATCCCCTTACCGAGTCTCTAGTCTTCTCCCATTTCACTAGATTGTTACATAACAATGGCTTTTCTTCTTAGGAATCCAAAAGGGAATTTCTCAAGAAATCACTCAGGTACTTGATGATGCATACTCTATTTGTAGCTGATTTAACAAGATGTGAAGGAAATGTAGCTGTTTATATATATATATATACATATATATTGATTATAGCTTGATTCCACACTGCATTTTTGGTACAAGCATAAAATTTTCAGCATGTGATATCGGTAGCCCAAATTTTGTAGGCCGACCATTTATATCAAGTGTGTGTCGGCAGAGGATCGAACCCCACACCATGTGCATGGTCGTAGAGAGTTCTGACTGCTGTGCCACCGACGCATAGATGAAGTTATTCAACTATCCGTCTGAATATATCTGCAAGCTAGTTCTATATACCATGAAAACAATACCAGTTTAAATTAATCTAAGCTGAGTAAAGACCAAAATGAAGTTGTCTTATTTTATGAACAGGTCGACTTTATTATCAAGTCAAAAGTGACGTCACGAGATTCAGAGTGGATAGAAGAATCATAATCTATCTATCTATCTACGGAGCTTTGGCTATATGAAAGGGAGCTTTATTATGACAATAAATAACTTGAAACGTTTACTGATAAATGCAATAATTTACGAAGTGATCTTTTTCTGTTTGACGCGATCAAATCGACAAGATAAACAACCAGCTGATTATTATGGCAATCTCAAATTGTAATTGGTCACTTTAGTAAATTTCCCTGAAATAACTAACTAGCCAATCAGACGTGAGTATGTGTTAGTTAGAAGCAATGAAAATATAACAGAAGTTTATTTTATCTGTTTTTCTCTCATGTAATTTTACTGCAAAATAAAAAATAATTTTATTGTAATAATTTTCAGTCTTTCAAAACTGAATGTTACATGGGACTTACTGGAGGTCTACTGCACATGTGATTGTTGTGCACAGAAATCTTATTAAATGTCCACTAGTAACAGACAGATATTCTATGTAGAATTAGTCATAATTTTTCTTACTGGAATTGGTGGAACATTGGCTTTGATAAGTGTTTGCCTGAGAAGTTCGTGGATATCTATTAAACTGTTTAAAAAACTTCACCGTTATTCTCATTTTGATAATTTGAGTAAGTCTCTGTGTATTTGTTTTTTTTTCAGTTGTCATTCAAGTGTTGCTTTGCAAGGATTTCACTGGTTACATGATTTCATCATTAGCTACACAGCAGTGTCATCCTAGTACTTAGGACTCTTCATCAGTACGCACCCACTACCACGGTTCGGACTCACGACTATCTGGCCAACCACCCCATGAGTTCCAACTTCTGCCAATTCACACGCGATATATAGTGACTGGCAATAGCCGATTTCATAGGTGGCCAGTATTCGCCCTCACACCTGACCTGCTATATCGCACTGGTAGCGATTTCACGCAAGATTTGATTGTCAACTGTCAAGATTTTAAGCTGTCTTTGAAAGGCAATTATGTCAACTCTGTTTGAACTTAGCAGACATTCTTTACTATTCTTCTCGTCGGTGGTTCAGCCGCGGTAGGACGCTAACCAAATAGCCATGCTTCACATTGTTGGTCCGAGTTTTGATCCCCGGTCAATACACTCCTCGCTAAGCTCGTAGTAAGGTCAGTGAAATAGGGAGGTTGGGCGTGTGGCTAGCAGACCCAACCCTTGAAAAAGGCCACTGCTACGAAAACTTCAAAGTTCGGAGCATGAAGTCCTATGTTCCTTGTCGGAATGTAAACGAATAAAAACAAAAATATTCTTTGATTCTATGTAAAGATTTCTGTAGTCGAAAGGGTAGGTGGTGAGAATGGTAAAACTCTGTATACATTGTGACTTTTGTGTGAGGAACCACCTGAACTTAATGGATTGATTTATAAAGTTGGACATACAAACACTGTCGTTGCCAGTGATGATGAGTAGATAGTCTGACCGAATGAAGTCAAAATGGCGCTAACAAAGTCACAGGATGTGCCTTGTTAAGAAGAAATCAATTTTGTTCAATGTGCTGACGACCTTAATGTCTCGTGATCAATTAGTTCCCGAGCTGACTGTTACAAACTGACCGACTGTCCGACATTAGCCAGCCAGCGGTCTAAGGTAAATGGTTTTAAGTTTAATCCCTCCAAATCTCACATAGATAATTTCACCTTCATGAATATACGTGATCTAAATAAACTCATTAGTTCATCAGCCGCTGCTTGTAGCTTAAGTGACATTGAATCAGAAACTAAGTCAAGCTTAGAAAACCTCGGAACATATTTACATCCTCTGACCTTCCTTTGTCTACAAGTATCCTGTTTATTTCTAAGAAAATGTTCCATTTAATCGACTACACTAAGAAGGTAGGACAATCTGGAACCTCTCATCCCCTAATCTTTTACAACTAAGTAATCCTTACATCTTAATCATTAGTCTCCGTTGCTCCCCCATCCCCAGTCTTTCCTGTGTTACTCAAAGGGAACTCTGTCATTCTGTAAAGTGCATTACAAGTTGTCATTATGGCAAGTGGTGTACAACCACTTAATGAACTGATAGATGCACACTGATGGCTCCAATCAGCAGTGGTAGCTTATGCTTCACGACATTCATGCAAATCATTGATTTCGTAGAGAAAGTTGGTCTAAGTTCAGCAGTGAAGAGGGCCTTCTTCACTGGGTGGAACAGGTGTTTCTGCCAATGAATCACTAATAAACTGTAGATTCAGGTAGGAAAGTCTTTTAGGATCAAAATGTGCGTGTGGTTTCAATGTTTCGGGCTTCATGGATTTTGTGATGAATTGACGTTCTGGGTAGCCATTTTCGAGGAATTTTATTTTCAGAGTGTTCACCTCTTCTTTCATAGCTACGGATTCTGTGGCTCAATGAATGGATTAGGTTTCGTTTTGTTTATGGAAACACCCAACTACGAAAGTTAATGAGCTTTCCGTTCCATCTCGGTTTTCTGTAGATGGATCTTTTTAATGTTCCATATTATCCATGCTTCGTTAGTTGAAAGTCCAGAAGAGATATCTGTTATCTAAAATGTGCAATTATAGTGACACATATTTGGAAACATGCCTTTTGTTGCTAAGAAAATTAACCAGCTAAAGAATCATATCAGCGAAAAATGATGAACTCTTAAATGAAAAGATTTTCTTTTATATCTAGCTACGTTACACTTATCAAGACTTGCTACACAGGTAACGGATGAGATGGACTGGAATCTAGATATCTATTGGAGTGTGTTGGCTTTTCACACAAATGTCAGTGAATCATCAACCTTCTCCCGTCTGTTATTAGTTTACATATTCTGACATAGTTAGTCAATTCGACTTGTTAATTTTCTGACTGGGATGTAAATTCTACTCCTAATGCTTACTATTCAGATTATACGTTTGGAGAAGCTAGAGATATGTTCTGTTTTTAACACTGTGAAAGTGTCATCCACCAATCCACATCATATGTTTGGAGTAGGATTAAATATAATGAAAGTTATAGTCTATATTTTCGCTCAACTATCCGTGAAGATATCTGTTACGAATGTGGTGTTTAATAGTGATCTGATTGCTACTCCTTCTCTTTGTTTATCTGTACATCTTTCCTTGGGATTTGAAGAAAGTAGATGTGAGGTATAATTTGATTCCCAAAGTAATTTCGTCAAAGTTTGACGGCTTTGTCCTATGGGTAAGTAAGTTGGGGATGAGCAGTAAGTTCTCTTCGAACTGTTTCGAAAGCCAAACTAATTGTTACATTAGTATAGAGACTGATTAGTTATTTCAAAACTAACCGCATTTCTTATCACTCGCTATTCGAATGTCACTGTAATTCTTCTCCATTTAACATGAATTAATAATCTACATTTTGAAGGATTTCTGCTTAGTGAATGGTGAGTGCATAGATAATTCCCAAATAAGGATATTTATAAAATCAACTGTTGGCCTTATAGGATAACTTGGTTTATGTACGAAGAGTAACATAGTGCTTCAAGAGCACGTCTCCACCCTATCCCATTCTCTATTGTCCTTCCTAGACGGCTAGCTTCACAGTTGCCCATCATCTGTCATCCGTATGTTACGTCAGAACTTGGGGGCACTGTTGTTGTAGAATGTAATTCCATATTAGCTAAATTTATTTCAAATATGAAATTGTTTTAGGGTTACCTCTGTGTCTAGGACACATTGAAGCAGTGCTTTACTCATCCACAGTGGAATAGTCCTCTGATTAGCTTTTTCTGAATTTAGATTGAGAAAAAAAATCATTTTAATGCACCTGATAACTACGGAAATCAAACCTTAGCTGTTCGATAAATTGGATGAAAAGTGATTTAGATAAGAGAAAATAATGCAAACTAGAGATCCCTCTGACTTTTGTTAACCTCAAAAAATTCTACTAACGAAATACCGATTGAAATTGTAGGCCTAACTATACTAGACTGTTAAATATAAAGAATAATGGACGACAGCGTGAAAGTGATGACCTGTAGAGGAATAAGGCACTCTGAAGATACCTTGGATACTACCCAGCTCACTCTCTTTTGGTCAAACGATTGTCAAATTATGACTCAGAGGCCGCAACGAAAAAAAATTTAATGCTATTGTTACTGAATGGATGTCACTCTATTAAACAATTGGCGGGAGGTACATTTAGCTGACGGGTCTCTAAAAGTACGAGGCGCATGTCTTAAATTCTATTACCAGTCTGCTAGAACAAGAAACTTTGTAAGAAATTTTATTTGGGCAGTTATTCATGTCACACAACGGACATGATTATGAAGATAAAAGAATGCCCTTCTTCATTGCAAGTTTCATCGCGGTTCCCGATAAAGGTTTTAGTAGGTATAAGGTTGGGATATGATTAAGTTCAGGGTGAAATTTGCCATGAAAACTAGAGCTCGAGCGAAAATGCAGCGAAGAAAACTTAGGGTTAGAGTGAGTGTTGCAAAGTAGAGTGGGTATACGACGAAACTTGCATTGAAGACTATTTGAAAAGCAATCGTTTGTAATGGTGAGCAGTGATATTATTGATTGGTTCAAAGTGATTTGACTTAGGTGTCTATGCTTTACTGTTGCTATGCTAACAGATAGACGGTGATGTCACATCAATTTCAAATTTCAACTGCCCACGGAATGTAGTATTTGAAATAAACTTATCATATATGGAATTACATTCTACCATAGTCAGTGCTTTACGCTATAAGCAAAAAACCCTCACAATATTCATTGTTCTCAACCGAAACATATGTGACAAAACATGATTTATGTTAATGTTAGAGTGAAACTTGAACATTGTGGTAGAATGTAATTCCATATTAGATAAGTTTATTTTAATAATCACACACTGATGCAGTATTTATAACTGGATAACGTTTCGAGCATACATTATTGCTCATGAGCATATCAATTAAGTCACGTTCTCTTAATTTGTCATATATGCATTTTTTCTATCTTTTTATCTCTTTGAATTCCCTTTGTTGTTTGCTGCCACTGTCCGTATCTCGAGTATAAGCGCTTTGCCATTCCAATTGCATGTGTGTGATGTTGAATCGATAAAAACAACGCTTCAGTGATTTACCTCTCTATCTCTTCACCTAACTATATTATTTTATGATACTCTCACTCTGTCTCACCATATTTTGTGACTACATGCAAGTGGATGCAATGCAATGGCTGAGCTTTTTTCTAAGTAATTTAACTTAGCATGGTCAATTATTCTAGGTTTAGCCAAATGCTTATGTTCCAGTAATCTAGCTGACCCTGGTCTGCTAGTGTCACTGACCTATGTACCTGACCTCACTAGCAGTCATTACATGGTATTTGGTAAATTATACTATATTTATTAATTGGGTCTATTGGGTCCTTAAGTCGAAAGACATAGTTTATCTCTGAAATAGTTGGTTAGTTGGTTTAAATGCCACCCTAATTCAAACCTCATCGAGAATTCTAAATAAGGCCTCTGACGTCTCTTCTTTATACGGCAGACCTACAGAGGCTTTGAAGTCTTTATTATTTTCGTTATTTTTCTCACTTTTATTGCTAGTCTCAGTTTTTCCATGTTTCTTAATATATATAGTTCTGAGTAAATTCTAATGAGCAATTATTCACCAGTAATATTTCCTTTTGTTGATTTCGTATT